CAAAGCTGCTATTAGGACAATATCCAACTCTGGCCCCAGACATCACTTGGTACCCCTACTCAAATCTCTGAATATGTTAGACATTAAGTCACTGCACATTCTTTCATGTGTATTATACATATATAAAACACTAAACTGTAATGCCAATCCTGACTTCAAAAGCTTCATAGAAGGTTGTAACAGAACCCATGAGCACCACACCAGAAATAAATACAGTTTTGATATTCCTAGAGTACGACTTATTCAAACTAGAAATGCTCTTCAAATCAAGGGACCCAGAATGTGGAATGACCTTCCCAACGATGTTAAAGACTGTACCTCTCTCAACCAGTTTAAGATAAAAACGAAGCTATACCTAATAACTTCCCTGTAACCTACCTTACCCCTCTATTGTCAACCAATGTCTGTTTTTTTTAAAGAGCGCTGTTTGTCGACAGAATTGTATTTGTGCTGCTTTTTCTGTTATGTTTTCATTTCTTGTTTTCATTTTACTCGTTATGCTCAATTAGTATTAAGGTTTAGTCATTTAAGTTTTTCATGCCGGAAACGCTTTGCGTAATAGTGGCTTTAGGCATTGTATGTACTAGCTCTATCTATAAGTCCACCAATCTTTGTAAAAAAAATTCTTGTATGTATGTACCTTACCTAAATAAACATTTACTTATTTATTTATTTATTTGAGTAGGGGTACCGATGGAGTGATGTCTGGAGCCAGAGTTGGATATTGTCCTAATAGCAGCTTTGTGTTTATTTATTTATTTATTTATTTATTTATTTATGCATATACAAGAATGTACATAAGGAATGTGAGGATACAAATATGGTAATTACAGTCTTGTAAAGCCACTAGCACGCGCAGCGTTTCGGGCAGGTCCTTAATCTAAGAAAATTTTAAGGAGGTAAATACTTGCAAAATTATAGACAAAAAATGATAACAGATTGCATGAAATGAAAAAAAGATGAGAGAAAATTGTAGGTACAGTATATTAAAGCACATAGGTAGCTAAGATTGATTGCAATGACAGCTTGAATGGTAGTTGACAAAAAAAAAATTGGTAGGCATAATACAGCAGAAACAATATAAGATTGGTTGCAATGACAGCTTGAATGGTAGTTGACACAAAATTGGTAGTCACAATACAGCATATGGCTAGCACATAAAAGAAGACAGCAATGAACACAATGATAAGGTTGTTTGAAATTACATAAAAATTAGGAGATTGGGTAACACTAGGTACAGAGCAAATTTAAAGCTCAGTGTAGGAAACTAAGAAGATGAAGTTAGGTACTTTTTGGTTTTGCTTTTAAATAAGGCAAAAGTTTTACAGTTTTTCAATTCACTAGGGAGTGAGTTCCATAAACTAGGTCCCTTAATTTGCATAGAGTGTTTACACAGATTAAGTTTGACCCTGGGGATATCAAAGAGATATTTATTTCTGGTGTGGTGATAATGGGTCCTATTACATCTGTCCAGGGAGAGTTTCAGAGCATGGTTTGCATTTAAGAACAGGGTTTTGTAAATGTAGTTGACACAAGAGAATGTGTGGAGGGAGTTAATATTTAGCAAGTTTAGGGATTTGTGTTGAGTAATTAGAGGACGTAAGTAATTTTGGGTAGTAGAACCCCAAGCACAAATACCATAGTTGAGATAAGGATAGATGAGGGAGTAATAGAGCGTCACTAGGTCAGGGCGAGGTACATAATATCTGATCTTAGAAAGAATGCCAACAGTTTTTGAAACTTTTTTTGATATATTTAGAATGTGTCCCTGGAAATTCAGCTTGTGGTCAATGAGAACGCCAAGGAATTTGCCATCTATTTTGTTACAAATTTGGGTATTGTTTATCCTGAGATTTATTTGATTAGAGAATTTATTGCCAAACAGAATATAGAAAATTTTGTCAATGTTAAGGGTGAATATTGTAGTGTATTGTATTATAGCTACCTTTAAGACGTCTTAGACAAAGGTCAAAGGAAATTTTTTTTTTGGGGGGGGGAATAATATATTTTTATACTTTGGAGGCATAAGAAATCAGAAATTAATACTTCCCAGTAACAAAGAACAAAAATTGTTACACAGTTTTATGCTATTTTTATTTATTTTTATTTATATATATACAAGAAGGTGCGTTGGGATTGTGAGGATACATAGCATAGTAATTACATTCTTGTAAAGCCACTAGTACATGCAGCGTTTCGGGCAGAACTATATACTGTAAAAGAACGTTGATATACACACCAATTAAACTCTGTAATTGTTATAGCATAGTATGCAGAATGTAACTTGTGTAACTAATTGAATTTTGGGGTTTAGTTCCTGAGCCCAACCACTGGGACTCTGGCTTCATGCAGGTCGGCGTTCAATCCCCGACTCCCCGACAAGTGGTTGGGCACCATTCCTTTCCCCCGTCCCATCCCAAATCCTTATCCTGACCCCTTCCAAGTGTCATATAGTCGTAATGGCTTTGCGCTTTCCCCTGCTAGTTCCCGCCTGAGCCCATCACGTATAACCCTCTGTGTATAACCTTTTCCATTACCACTCACAGGATGAGTACATTGGGTGCATAATGAAGTGAACTAAGAGTACATATGTATACAGCAAGGCTACTGAAGCTCCAGCTGAAGAAGTGGCAGGCCTTGTCATTTCTGAGAATTAGATTAGCATTATCATGCAGTCATATCCTTTCAAACGTTACCTATTGTCAGTATATATATATATATATATATATATATATATATATATATATATATATATATATATATATATATATATATATATATATATATATATATATATATATATATATATATATATATATATATATATATGATATTTTATTTATGCATTGATTTACAAGAAGGTACACTGGGTTTGTGAGAGTACATATAACATTGGTGTTCTTATATTCTTGCAAAGCCACCAAAACGCATAGCATTTCGGGCAGGTCTTTAATTTAAATACAAATACAAATTTTTATTCAGGTAAAGTACATGCATACAAGGTAAGAAACAAAAGTTGATGGATTTATAGATAGAGCTAGTACATACAATGCCTAAAGCCACTATTACGCAAAGCGTTTCGGGCAGGAAAAACACTAAGACTAAAACTTAATACTAATTGAGATTAAAGTATAAATTGTGTTGAGAAAAAATAAGAAAAAATTGGAAAAAAGGGGGGGGGGAAACATGGCAGAAAAAAACAAAAATACAATTTGGTCAGCAAAACAGCATTGTTTACAATAGAAGACATGGGTTGAAATTTTGGGGGTAAGGTAGGTTACATTGAGTTAATTAGGTAGTACTTAGTTTTTATCTTAAACTGGTTGGGAGAGGTACAGTCTTTAACATAATTGGAAGGTCATTCCACATTCGAGGTCCCTTGATTTGTATAGCATTTCTAGTTTGATTAAGTCGTACTCTTGGAATATCAAATAGGTATTTGTTTCTGGTGTGGTGCTCATGGGATCTGTTACAACCTTCTAGGAAGCTTTCAAGGTCAGGATTGACATTACAGTTCAGCGTTTTATATATATAAAATACACATGAGAGGATGTGCAGGGACTTAATATGAGGACGTAAAATATTTGATTAGGAAGTAAATTGTAGCAAAATTTGAGTTTAACATAATAACTAAATATAAATTGATGGAAATGATTACACTGGTTAAGTTGCTTGTTTTAAGTTCTAATATTGGGAGTGTTGATAGCACAAAATACAGTGTGAATTTGAAACACAAGGTTGGAAACTATAAGGATGAAATTAGGTACTTTTGGGGTTTACTTTTAAATAAGGCATAGTTTGGACTTTTGGACAAGGTTTTTTAAATTCAACAAGGAGTGATTTCCATAGACTGGGTCCTTTTATTTGCATGGAGTGTTTGCACAGATTTAATTTGACTGGGGATTTCAAAGAGGTATTTATTTCTAGTGTGATGCTCATTGGTTCTATTACACCTATCAAAGAAAATTTTCAAATCGGGATTAGCATTTAGGAATAAGGTTTTGTATATGTAGATAGCACAAGAGAATGTATGGAGTGAGTGTATGGTTAACATGTTTAGGGATTTAAAGAGGGGCTGTGTGTTGTCTGAAGAGTTCTGATAGCAGATTTTTGCTGGGTGATGATGGGCTTGAGATAATTTGCCCATCTTGATAATTTGCCCATCTACAAATTTGATAATTTGATTTTGATAATAATTTACTGTGCTTGAACCCCATTCATAGATATCGTATGTAATGTAAGATAGAGATAGATTAACGAGTAGTACAACGTGAGGAAAGCAGAACAGGGAACATAATATCCGATTTTAGAGAGTATACCGCCCGTTTTTTAGACTTATTTTTGCTATGTGTTGTATGTGGGTGCTGAAGTTGAGTCTTTTTTCTATGTATAGGCCAAGAAACGTTCTGTCATTTGTATTGCTATTGTTAACATTGTCTATCTGAAGCGGAATTTGGTTTGATGATTTACTTCCAAATAAAATGTAGTAGTTTTTTCTGTTTAGTGTAAATTTTTTTGTTGACATCCATGAGTTGACTTTTTTAATTCGTTATTTACTATATTATTTGTTTAGCCAGGATATGTTCATCCTGTACCCCATCCTAGCCAGGTTATGATCATCCTGTACCCCCTTTGCCAATTTGGGTGAGACTAGCCCTAAGCGTCTGGCCTCCAACTTTAGACCGACAGACAAACAAGCAAACAAATGGACAGACATTCTCTCTCATAGAATAGATTAAAACAAAAACAAAAATGTCTCCATTTTGTGCTTTCGCTCGACCTCAGAAATAATATGCGGGCAATAATAGCTAAGTGGTGACTCAATTTCCCCGCCCCCTTCAGCTCCGGCAGGTCTCCCCACTATATATGTACATATATATTACCAACTACTGTAAAATAAATACATCTTGCCAAAATGAGTGATAAATATATATATAGAAGGATCTATAAGGGCGAATAGAGTCATATATCCCGTATATGAATGCTATGTTTGAGAGAGTTGCGCAGGCGGGGGCGAGGTGTGTGTTTACTAGCTGGGGGAGAGTGACGAGTCCGGGCGTAGGTGTGGCGGCCAGACCTGCCACCAGATGGTGAGTCTTCCCTCTATTTCTCGCTCTTCACGCTACTGACTGAGGTGAGACCCTCCAGCAGGAGGCCGTGAAGCCTGGTAGAGGCTGAGGGGGGGGAGGAGGTAAGCCGGAGGAACCTCAGGAAGCTTAGCCAGTTTTGGAAGAGCGTTCGGACGGTGTGTGTGTGGGTCTGTGTTGTGTGGGAGGATTTTGGTCGACTATTTTTAGTAGTGGTTGTGATCTGTGGCGGTGAGGGGAAGGTGTTTACATGGGGGTGGGGGGGATGGGTAAACAAGATGCTAAGGGTGGGAGATTAGGGCAGAAGGTCCATCTCACTCATGACCTCTTTTACTTTGAGGAGATTGACCTCTCACAGGGTTCAAAAAGGGTCATTAATATATCTGTTTACATCCATGAGACTACCGTGTGTGTGCTTGTGTAACCCTTTCCACTACCGCCCACAGGAAGGGTATGGGGTGCATAATAAACGAAATAGACTACGTTATCGAAGTTCTTTACACGAACTTAACCTAACCTAAGCTGAGGTTAGGGATAGTGCCAATATTGGTGGCACCTGTGGTCAAGGTTGGTGGCAGTGTTGCACCTGTGGTCAGGGTTGGTGGCAGTGTTGCACCTGTGGTCAGGGTTGGTGGCAGTGTTGCACCTGTGGTCAGGGTTGGTGGCAGTGTTGCACCTGTGGTCAGGGTTGGTGGCAGTGTTGCACCTGTGGTCAGGGTTGGTGGCAGTGTTGCACCTGTGGTCAGGGTTGGTGGCAGTGTTGCACCTGTGGTCAGGGTTGGTGGCAGTGTTGCACCTGTGGTCAAGGTTGGTGACAGTGTTGCACCTGTGGTCAAGGTTGGTGGCAGTGTTGCACCTGTGGTCAGGGTTGGTGGCAGTGTTGCACCTGTGGTCAGGGTTGGTGGCAGTGTTGCACCTGTGGTCAAGGTTGGTGGCAGTGTTGCACCTGTGGTCAAGGTTGGTGGCAGTGTTGCACCTGTGGTCAGGGTTGGTGGCAGTGTTGCACCTGTGGTCAGGGTTGGTGGCAGTGTTGCACCTGTGGTCAGGGTTGGTGGCAGTGTTGCACCTGTGGTCAGGGTTGGTGGCAGTGTTGCACCTGTGGTCAGGGTTGGTGGCAGTGTTGCACCTGTGGTCAGGGTTAGTGACAGTGTTGCACCTGTGGTCAGGGTTGGTGGCAGTGTTGCACCTGTGGTCAGGGTTGGTGGCAGTGTTGCACCTGTGGTCAAGGTTAGTGACAGTGTTGCACCTGTGGTCAGGGTTAGTGACAGTGTTGCACCTGTGGTCAAGGTTAGTACCGGTATTTCATTTGTAATTGCTTAAGTGTAATTACCTAAGTGTAGTTACAGGATGAGCGCTACACTCATGGTGTCCCGTTTTCCCAGTACAGTACACTGTCGTGTAACGTTTTGAAAGTACTGACGGTTTTGGCATCTCCACCTTCTCACTTAACTTGTTCCAATCATCTACCATCTATAACCTGTTGTTCTTGAAGTTCTAGGTCTTGGGAATTCTTTATCAATTTGTCGATTGTTGGTTCTATTTTGTACATAGTGATCACATTGCCTCTTTCTCTTCTATCTTCTTGTTTAACCATATTTAATATTGCTAACCTCTCCTTGTAGCTTTTGACTTTGTTCTGGAAGCCATTTAGTTGCATGTCTTTGCACCTCTTCCAGTTTGTTGATGTGCTGCTTAAGATATGGGTACCATACAACTGCTGCATATTCCAGCTTTGGTTTCATAAAGGTCATGAACAATTTCCTTAGTATTTCACCATCCATGTATTTAAAAGTAATTTTGAAATTGGAAAGTGTAGCATAGGTTCTTCGCACGATGTTCTTTATTTGGTCCTCAGGGGACAGTTTTCTATCAAGATCTTTATCAGAATTTTATCAAAATATCTGTGGTCAAGGCTGGTGCTAGAGTTGCACTTGTGGTCAAACCAGCCAGTGTTGTACCTGCAGTCAAGGCTGGTGCCGGTGTTGCACCTGTGGTCAAGGCTGGTGTCAGTGTTGCACCTGCTGTCAAAGCTGGTGCCAGTGTTGCACCTGCGGTCAAGGCTGGTGCCGGTGTTGCCCCTGCGGTCAAGGCTGGTGCCGGTGTTGTATCTGTGGTCAGAGTGATACAGGTCACCACATCCAAGATAGTTTGCTATTAAAGTTTTAAGAAAAAACCTAACCTAGCATATCCCTATTCAATCTAACTGATTTTTGCAAAATGACTTTGAACAACTTGATAAGTGGGGTTAAAACTAAACAAATTTATGCCATTCTGCATCATGACTGATTTAAGAATATTTAAGAATAGTATGGGGCTCTCATCCTATAAAATAAAAGGCCAAGTGTGTGTTTTATGTACACTATATGCATGGTGTGACTATTGTGATGTCATCAGTTTAACTCTGGAGATCATTTTCTCGAAAGGGAGGGGGGGGGGACCTTTGACAAGACACAAGCTTCCTGTCCTCATTGAGGCATTAGTGTTAGTGGCCCTCAGGTAAATTCAAGTAAATCTAGGTAAATTTTGGATACTACTGGATTTGACCATTCAAATCATGATTAATGCGTGTGATATCTGTCATGGAGTAAACGTGTACTGCTGCCACTGTTATACACTGGTATAACAGGTTAACTTGAAAAGATGGTTTGCTCCACAAGAGACCTTTGCTCCACAACAGATACAACACTGGCATTGGGTGTGACCAGAGTGGTCAAATTAGGGTCCTGTTAGTGCAGGAAACCTCCGAGCCAAGGGTGAGTTGTGTGTGGTTACCTTTGCAGTCTTCGCAGTTGTATCCCACCATTGGTGGGGTCAAGAGCTACCTGCTCATGCTCCTAGTGGTGAAATTTGTTCTGGTGCTTAGCTCAGTCTACATACAAGGGGACTGACTATTACGTACAAATGTTCAAGAGATGTGTATTTCATTCAGAATGATCTGCTACTAGAACTATTAGCCAAATATCCTCAGTTTGCTAACTGTAGGTAATAACTGTGTGATTGTAACCTATCCACCACTCCCCATTGGATGGGGGACGGTGTGCAGGATAAACATCAATTGTGACATTAGCTCTCAACATATGTCAGTTGCTGCATTCAGAAACTGTACCTGTGATCGGTCTTGTTCCCATTATTGATGTGACTATGAGCACTGAATTTTTGTAACTAGCTCATCAAAACTGTAATGTGGTAAGCTAAATGAATTTTGGGGTTCAGTCCCAGAGTCCATTATGTGCCTCTGTAATTCTTTCCACTACCGCCCATAGTTTGGGTATAGGGTTCCTAATAAATGAACTAAACGAAAACTACATACCATATACTGTACCACACACCTTGCACCATGCTGGGTGCTGAGGCATGTAACGGCATGGAAGATTGTACAATTGGCTACTCCCCATGAAAATTTTGACATGGACATGGACTCTGAAAACAGCCAGTCAGTAGTGGAGGATGAAGTTCAAGAAGGGTTAACCAGGGAGAGAAGAAATGGACACAATAGGAGCTGATGCAAAGTGTAGGCAGTGACAGTGAAACTAATAGAAACGATACGAGACAGAAGAATAATGCTGAGACAAAGGAGAATGATCAGACCCGTGTCGATGTCAGAAAAGAATAAACTCGGGAACTTACCCAGGAATGTGACAATCAATGGAGGTGGGGGCTTCTCTTCCCTACCTCATGCACACTGACCTACTACCAGAAGCTTCTGTGGACAGTCAACCTAGAAAGAGAGCACCACAAGTTGGAGCGACTACTGAAGGAAGGTGTAAACAGACCTTGCTTAACTGTAGGTTCTATGTTGTGTTCCTGACCCAAGAAGGATAATCATGGAATTTTTATGGTAATGCAGGAATTGATTGAAACAGGAATTTCCTTTCCTTGGGTGCCTGACAGCTGGGTGGACAGCGCTTTGGATTCGTAGTCCTGAGGTTCTGGGTTTGATCCCCGGTGGAGGCGGAGACAAATGGGCAAAATGTTTCTTTCACCCAGATGCCCCAGTTACCTAGCAGTAAATAGGTACCTGGGAGTTAGACAGCTGCTACGGGCTGCTTCCTGGGGGATGTGTAACAAAAAGGAGGCATGGTCGTGGACCGGGCCGCGGGGACGCTAAGCCCCGAAATCATCTCGATATAACCTCAAGATAGATGCCAGAGGAAAACAAGAAACTGACGAACGTGATTACACAGCACCACTTGGTTTCCGAACCCCCTGGAGACAAGACTCGTCGGTTATCATGTAAGCTCATAAACGAGAAATGGAGGGAAAAAATAAATTGGAAATATAAAAAAAAAATTATTGAAAAAGTTATGAAAAAACTCGAGGAAAAAATCGACAGGTTCATAGCATAAATGCGACCGTATTTTGTTTGTACTCGCCAATAAGTGAAGTCCTGATCCGCTTATGTTGATGATCGATGTTGATGAAGCGCAGTTATTTACTTGGAAGAGGTGGTGGTGGATGTTGGTGTTGGGTTGACTGAAGTTGTTGGGTTGACTGGGTCAACATGTGATGAGTCGGGTGCAGGTGATGCAATGCGAGCTTTCTAGGAAGCCATTGCAAAAGACTCTTTAATTGACATTTGTTTCATTCCCTTAGATCTTGTTTTTAAAACAACACTCTCCACCTTTGCTTTACTTACTACCTTTCTATTTCATATTGCCTTACAACTTTCACTTTTAGAGAAATAGTAAAAAATTGTAGGTTTAGCCTTAACCCCTTAACTGTGTTGCCTCCAAATATGACACCCCCACAGTGCGCAGGAAATAAATTCTCTGGAAAAAATTCTTTTGATTTTTTAAAGTGTCAAAAACCCTTCCCTCAATATGGGTATGTAAAAAAAAATTGAAATTGTACTTACTTTGGCTGCTATGGGGTCCGTAAGTTGGCGTGTGACGTCATCATTCCCCGTTCGCCCGTGACGTATGTTCCCGGGGCCAGTAGGGTGCCCGGGGCGGGGCACGTGAGTTGCCGCAAATATATTTTTGTTCATTTTTTGCGCACAGTTCCAAATACATTTTATTGGTTTTTACGTGCTAATCCTATGTATAAT